GATGGCAGTGTCACTTACTGAGATGAGAGACACCCACAGAAAAGCAGATCCAGGCACAAATCAAGAGCTCTGGCCTGGACACATGAAGTGTGAGGTGCCCATTTACCGTCAAAGTGGAGGTGCCACTTTGGGCTGACGCTTGGGTCCTTATGTCTCGTGGTTCAAAGACAGGACAGGGAGTCACCAAGCCACGTGTCTGGGTGAGGTCACCCAGAGTGGGTGAGAAGGGGACAGACTGTGTCTGACCACAGGGATCCCGTGATGCCAGCTCTTTTTGTCCCCAAGCTAGGACACTCCAAGCTCTGACCCCTGCCCTGGGTGACAGTCTTGGGCTCATCCTGTGACAGTGTCCCCATGGAGTCTCTTGTTTGTCATCAGCTTGTGTTCAGCCAGGCACCAGTTTAGCAAGTTTGGACAAATCCTAATCATTGCCCTGGAGTAAATAGGCCTTTCCCACTGGGCTCCTGACCCCTCATCTAGAAAATTTTTATCATGAACCCCATAAGTAAAATATTTTTGAGCAAACATCATATATATATTTGCCATTCGGATGGCAAACAGGCACCTAAAACATAACACATCCGAGCCAGAGCTCTTAATTTGTTCCCAAATAACCTATGTTCATTACATAACCATGCAAAACCAGAGTTATCTAAACTCATCTAAAGATGCGATAAACAGGGGCATCTGGGTGGCTCAGTCAGTTAAGCACCTGACTCTTGGTTTCAGCTCAGGTCATGATCTCACAGTTTCATGAGCTCAAGCCCCACATCAGGCTCTGTGCTGGCAGCTCAGAGCTTGCTTGGGATTCCCTCTCTCTGCCCCTCCCCCACTCACACTGTCTCTGTCTTTATCAAATAAATAAACAAATAAACTTTTAAAAAATAAAGATGAGAGAAACAATATTTGAACAACTATAATATTTAAAAGAACAAAATCCCTCTTTTTGTTTTCGGTTAAAAAAAAAAAAAAAGATTTAATACCTTCTATGAGCAATGCTATTGAGTTCGTCAGATCTGTTGAGCCAGTCACTGATGTCACTGGGAACAGGGGCTGACAAGTGTTAGCATTGTCTTCAATCTCTGCTCTCTTTTCAGGAATCTTTTGCAGCCACGAGTCCATTCTGTGAGCATTAGTTTTGTTAAAACCACTCAGCTAACAAGGCACAGGTCGACTCTGTGCTGTGGCCTTCTCACACCAATCTGAATATTAAGTATTTTAAAAAGCCCAGCTTCTTTCTTATCAGAAATTAAAATTCTAATATTTTCTTCCCTCCCCCAGGTAACTGTTTAGCACGGGGGGGGGGGGGGGGGGGAGCACCCTTGCCTTGCAGGCCATTGACTGCGGGCCCTGGCTAGAAGAGTCCTACACAGACGTGATTATCTATAGTCCAAGTCTGGCCAGCTCTCCCCCTTTGTTCCCTGGGCGCACCTGGCATGTTGCTCAAGCTCTCCACTCACCACCTCTCGGCAATGGGATGCAGTGCGAGGATGGGGCTAAAGGGACAAAGGGTCGCGCCCCCTCCCCCAGGTCCAGTATTCTACGATTCTCCACTTCTAGGCAGCGCGGTCCACCTTTTCAGGGCTCGACTGGGGGCCTGCGCTTTGGGGACGGCCCAATTGCTCCGGCCACTTCGCTCAGCCCAAACCCTGTTTCAGCTGCGTCCTCTCCTGCACCCCCTGCAGGGCGGCGCCAGCTCCAGGTCTCCAGCCCTGGGAAGAGCAAACCCCTGAGCACATCTGTCACAGCCGGCAGAGGTTCACTCCTCCCCAGACCCTCCTCCTTTAGCCCCCTGCCTAGCCGGTGAGGACCTGAGGCGCGGACCCTCGGCTTCCCCCGCCGAGGCCTGCCCTCGCTGCAGGACCAGACCGGCGCCCGTCCCCAAGGCGACCGCCACAGTCCTCAGGGCCCACACTGCCTCCTGCATCCAGCTCGGATGTGTGGGGCTCTCCGCGGGGAAACCGAGGCCCCTTCCCTGGGCCTCTGCATCCCTCTAGGATGCCGCACCCGAGCTTCCCCTCCGACGCCGCAGTTCTCGGCTTACGGGTCTCAGCCTTGGGGCTCCCAGCACGCGCTTGGCGCTCCCGGGAAGATGAATGAAAGGGCGGGGCGGGGCG